GGAGGGGTATCCTGGTGTGACGTCAAACAAGATGGGCGCCGTACCTAAAAATAGTTTGCGTCTTTCTACGTTTAATCGCATGTGTTATATTTATCAATCGGGAAAATCCATCTCATGCTCAGGACTAGGGTGTTTTGCACTTCGAAGTGTACTTACTGTAGGCTACAGACCCGGTAACCGGGAACAAAGTCGCGAAGTATACAGACCCGGTAAGGGAAATCTTTTGTGATTTCGGAAAGTTTCAGTGCCCAGTCCCGGTAGAGTGTGTGAGAGAGAGAGAAGAAAGGGAAGTGCTTGCTATATCACATGCCACTGTTGACAGGAGGGAACGAGAGAAAGTTCTGAAAGATAGAGTGGGAAAGTAGGTGGGGAAGAAAGAAAGACAGAGACAAACAAAGAGCAAGAGAAGGCGAGCGATACACAGAGGGGAGAGAGAGACTGAGAAATGGCTACCATTATTCTCACCCCGGGTGAGACATTATTCTCACCCCGTGTGAGAATAACCTAGATGTCTTGCTACTCCCCCCCCCCAGTGAGAATAGCTCCCACCCCGGTGTGGGCATGAGGCGAAGACTCCACCCTGACATCTCGCAGGTCGATAAAATCACGGCCCTTGGTGGCTTACTGCTTGTGGTTGGGAACGAATAATAATGTAAAAAAACATTTTTCGCCTCTCCAGTAAAAAAAAAGAGGCTCACTACCGACGCTTCTGAGCGGGATGTGGGACAGGACGCCGGCCGGACTATTCATTGTTTACACACTGACTTAACGATGGCAGGCTTCTCACTCTCTGCCTGCACTCAATAAATTATTTATGGTTCAAGGAACAGAGAGATATAATATGTATGAACGTAATGAGAAACAAGCACGAGACCAAGAAAATGCTCTTGCACGACGGTAGAAGGGCGAGGGCGTTAAATCGCATCTTTTAATAATCAAGCAATCCAAGCTCTTTCCTTCACTTTCTTTTTTTTTTTTCTTTTATTCTTCTTACGTCTTCTGTCCCCTTCTTCTTAAACATTTGGAGTGTGGAGCTAAAAAAGAGCCAGAGAGCCAAATGAAATTTTCCGGACCAGATGCGATCCAAAAGAGCCAAATTTCTGGGATTTGGCTCTGAAAATCTGACAACCGTGACTGTGACTAGACTCGGACACCAACACGACCCTGCGGAGCATCAGCCCCGGTAACCTCAGCCCTGATCCCTCTTGGGTCATTTCCGGTAAAACAAGGGAGGGGGTGAGTTCTAGTGAGACATTGGTTATTCTCACCCGGAGTGAGAATAACCACTTCCCAGAGAAATAGAGTATAATAGAGAGGGTGACTGCTCGATTGAAATTATGACATACATTGTTCTTTTCTTCAAATTGTCTATTGGTTCCCCCAAGTTTAATACGGAAGAAAGACGATCGTTCATCGGATAGACATCCGCAATCCTCATTTAGATCTATGCCTCGAAACTAGACCTAGGTCAAGGCCATGGACCAAGAAGAACCTACGTCTTCCCCATAGAGTTATCTCCTTTTAAAACCTAATAGTTAGTGTAAATCTATGGTCCTCCCTGAGCCAAGAGGGCGCTGAAACTTTCCGAAATCACAAAAGATTTCCCTTACCGGGTCTGTATACTTCGTGACTATGTTCCCGGTTACCGGGTATGTATACACTCCCTTTGCACTTTTCTAGCGTTCACTTTTTTGTGGCTGCAATTATCCATTTGGACCCCCCGGGTGCCAATAAATCTGGTATTATTCGGACACACACCCCCCCCCTGGGTGCCAATAATATGGATCTCCTGGGTATTAATATGGGCTGCATCTATTTATTTATGGCCGGGTCTATTTCTCTGAACCCTCGGGAAAATAAACTTGAACTCTATTTCTCCTAACGGTTTCCATTCTCGAGATTTGTTGATAATTTGTGAATGGCATGGCCCACACGTGAGTGAGTGAATGAATGAGCGAGTGAGTGTGTATAGTGTGTGTGTATGTGTAAGGTGTGGACTGAGCATGGGGGCGGGGCGAGTGGGGAGAGCGTGGAGGGATTTTTTTTTTAATACCATTTTGCTTTGGGGTGACTAAATCATTCAAATTTTCGCAATACCTTTTGAAGGCATTACTGAAGTATTGTCCGGGAACGTTGCCCCAATGACGACTGAAGTAGTCTTCTATCTGAATATTCAGACATTTAAAAATCTCTAGCTCTAGAAATTGAATTCGATGCAAAAAATGCTTCTTCCCAGTCCTTACCGAATGGCAGAATGAAAGATGACGGCTAAATCTTGCAAATAACCCCAAAATCTCGAGAACAGAAACCGTTTAGAGAAATAGAGATCAGGTTTATTCTAGTGTTTGGAGAAATAGTCCCTTAGTTTGTTTATTCTCACCGGTGGTGAAGAGGCATTATAAAACTTGATGGCGAGTTGGCTTTAGTCTAAACTTTAGATAAAGTGTTTTTGAAAAACGCAGTGACTACGTTCTTGGCACCGTGAACGTAGATCTAGATCTAGTTAGTAGGCTACGCTCACGGCACCCTGAATGTAGTTTGCCGGCTATGACTTGCCACGTAAATGGAGTCAAATTTGTGTTCAGCAGACAAAACACAAAGTACACACCCAGAACCTGGACTTAACTCCTGTTCTGCCTCACAGTGCCGAGATGTGAGTCTTATCACTGAGCTCCTCAGTGAACAGATCGTGTGAGTACCGGCGTTTGTTGGGGTAGCCAAAGTTCATTCAAAGTCAGAGCGTTGCGAAGTATAGGACTACGGAATGAGGGAGGGGATTATTGATATTTTTTTTAGATACACTCGAGGAGGGGGGGAGGGGGGGGGGTGCTGAAGGCAACACCAGAGGACTAAAACTGGTGGGTGCCACAAAGGTACACAAACCCAAGAAGACTGACGCAGTATACATGTCAGCTGTGGAAATACGGCAAGCTGAGATGCAGGGCCAAACCGATTCTGGACCCAATTGAAAGCGAGGATGTGGAAATATATGCTTATTGGGGTGCATAGATTTATTAGATTCCGACCCCAGAGGATTTTAATTGCAGTGAAGGGTGGGGCTAAGGGCGGAAGCAAAAGAGATGTTCAATCGTTGTTGTTTTTAATAGGTCGAACAGTGGTCTTATGAAATACAAGCATTGGTGGCAATGGAATAAGTGGAACTGATGCATGATGCCATTATCAGAGAGGCAAGGATAGCACTTCAGAGATGTCAGATTTTGACCACTGCTTGCTGATCGGGGGAGCAACCTCTTATTGTCCCACTGGCTGAGCTTCTGGAGCCCCTTCCCTCTCCCCCTAAATTCCCCTGTCTAAGACGTTATTTTTTTCTGGCTCCCTTCCGATTCCATCCTAGACAGGTTCGACTGTATTTGATGTTGCTTTTTATTTTGTTTGAAGTGTACAAAGTACTTCCTTTTTCAGTGTTATTTGAATTTAAACGCCAATAACTTTGTAAAGTCACCATCAGTTTCAATTTTTTGGTAAAAATCTGGTAGGGATAGGCGTACTGTACAAATTGTTCAAATTTCAACTTTGTGCCGTTTTTCTGTGATTTTTAATTAATTTTTTAAAAACTACGTAAACGTTCCCCAAGACGTGTTTCTATCGAATCGGATTCCTTTTTTCTGTGTTATTTGAAGTTAAACGCCAATAACTTTGTAAATTAAATTCACTATCAGTTTCAATTCTTTTTTCAAAATCTAGTAGGGATAGGTATACTGTACCAGTGATGCAAGTTACAACTTTGTGTTGTTTTTCTGTGATTTTTTCTTCTTTAAAATGATATAGGCGTCTTTTGTTCAGTGTTTGTTATGTGTTTTGTTTCAATTATATAGTGTGTTTACCAATTGTGACAGTAGGCTTAACTAGTTATCCCCACGGGGCTGTGCCACTGACTGAAGTGTCAAAAGGCCATTCCCAAAGGGGGAATATTTCTCGTTCATGCACAGTAGAATTGTATATGGGCTGATTCATGTCACGCTCATAACTGTGCCTGATCTACAACAGGGAACTGCTGCTTTTTCTTTCCTAATCCTTACTATTGTCATTTTTCCTCTACTTCTTTTGTATGTTGTCTCTCTCTTGTGACCTGCTATTTCCGGGGTGCCTTGATAGTCGAAGCAGACTCTGTGCTGTTGAAACTAGAGAGGTGAGCAGAGTAAGTCTGATTCCCTGTAAAGATTTTTTTGTTGACGCCCACCCCTTGGCGCTCATATGACCTTATGCAGTTGCGAGTGCCTTAAAACCCTGTACTAAAACTAAAACTTAAATGCACTTATAAGTACTGACATCCTGACTGGTGATACCCACGATCCTAGAGTGATACATTTTTATCAAGAGTCGTCGCATGTGAAAGCTGTACTTGGGGAGCTGAGTACATATCTCGAAAAGTTGTGAATCTCCACTCAAGACTTAATATCTTTGTTTAGGCAACGGTTTTCAAATGCAGCCAAATGAGTTTAAAACTTTACTCAGTTTCTGACCCAATATCTTAGAATTGTCAAAATCGACCTCGACTATCAAGTTCAAATTTATTGAAATAAATCATGACCCTTTATCAATGTTTAAACATGTATCTATTTTTCTTTCGTCATCATCTCGTATTTCTTTATCTTAATTAGATGCGTGATTGCTCTAAGAAATGTGTTAGATGATGCTTATTCAAAGTATACAGTTTTTTGCACAGTTGGTATTGTATTTTGGACTTAGTCACAGGTTAAACAAAGCTGAAAACTGCTGCAATAACATTTTCATAGCGAATCTGTCAGTCAGGTAAAATTCCCAGTGTTGACCTCTTGACCTGTTGGTAATTGCTGGTTCGAGTTACACAGAGCGTCGGGGCGCTGCGGGGTGCCGGTAAAACTAAAGTACTGCTCATGAACAGCCGTGTTGCATCTTTATACTATACCATACAGCCGTGTTGCACCTTTATACTATACCATGACTGGTTGTGTCATCTTCATTTGGACTAATTATTATTTATTTGTTTTTCCTGGCAGGTAGTTGGGCCACTCATGGTACTCAAGTCACAAGCCTTGTTGATGATTTCATTGTGGCTGTGAATATTGTGCTGTCTGACATTCACCTAGTGCCACAGAATATTGGTTGTGAGCATGATTCCTGCAAAGACTGACTTACTTAGGACTTGAGTTCTGATGTGGTGATGCAAAGTTCTTCTGCCTGGAAGGAATAGGCCTACAAGTGCCAGTGTTTGCCTATTACCTACTTGGATATGAATCTGAAAAATCTTTTTCAAGACTTTAATCCCAGGTATGATAGATTTATGAAACATATTTGTACTTTTTTGTAAGGGACTGTGCCATAAATACAAATGAGGGTCTTATAATTCAGAACTGCCTGGAACAATGCATGCGCATTGGTTGATAATGGCCGATATTTCGTACTCTTTTGATAAATAACACTTAGTATCGATGGATACAGAGTACTCGGCTGTGAAAGCAATGGAAATAAAAAAATATGTCACATTATTATAATACACTTGATTAATGATATCCTTAGACTGGGCACCACTGTCATGGCAGTGGCTCTTTACTCTCTACAAAAACCTCCCTGCTCTGGTGCATACATTGGGCGCTCATATGAAGACAAAAAAACAAACTCACTGTAGTTAAATACACACTCAACCTTTCCCTCTCTACTCTTCATTTGGTTCCAAATAGAGTCAAATGATGTGCTCGGGAAAAGCATCAAATGTGCCCAACTTAGATTTATTCAACAAGTATACTCTATAATGAAAAGGGGCCTGGGTTCTAGATTCTATAACTTTCAGCATATTTCTTTCGGTAGCATTACATCACTGAAAGATAAAGACATACATTATGATACATGTGACGAGGGTGGTTACAAGTCGCCATCACACTTTTTTCTGTTCTGCACTAGAAGTCTTACTGCTCTACACATTCCTTACCGTGACTCTGATAATTAATGGTAATGGCTTTCCTGTTGTTTGCTTCCCATTTGACAGCATGGTGATCTCAAGTCCAACAGTCGTAAATATATATATGTATCAGGGATCACAGTTTTCCGCGGTTGCGAGTACTTCCCAAAATCCACTCTGGCCGTCGTTCTGTCCCAGCCTTAAGTCAGGCCGTCAAAGTTCAGGGGTTAGCGAAAAATCCCACTGTGATCCCTGATGTATCTAACAATCCTGACAACCTTTGTATGTTTTACATGGCTGTCCCCAGTAAGTTTGTGGTGTTCAGCTGTCTGCTGGTGTTTACGTTGCTGCTGTCGCTGCGGATAGATGGTAGTGTGGACTGGAGCTATTGGCTTGTCTTCCTCCCGATCTGGCTATGGAAGTTGTTAGTGCTGGTGGGAGCGGCTGTGGGTACCTCTGTATGGCTGCGCAACCCACAATACAGGTGAGTGAAGGTGTGGTATGGAGTGGAGCATAAGGTCTGGGGTGTGAGGAAGAAAGTGAATAGAATTACAAATAAAGTGTGTTCATGTGGTGTGTATACATTATTATTGATATACATTTGGTCATTTTATGTGCCCCTGTGCCTGAGTTCTGTTTGTATTTTATGCCATCGTAGGATATCAATATATCAATATGTCTTTAAAAGCACATTGAGCATTATAAAGTATAGGAATGTGCTGCGCAAATGCTTTGTATATTATTATTTTTTATTATAAAGAATAAAGCATTGAAAGAGACAGAGTGTAAATAAGTTTATGTTTCATCCTTCTTCTTACTTGCTGTCTTTTTTCCAGCATAAACCTGTTTAATGTGTAGTCTTGCCCTCCTTTAACCGGCTCTAGTTTGAGGCTTCAGTCAGTGGTATCTGCCTTAGGTAATGTTCTTGAGAAGTAGGAAAAAGCTGATTGTTATAATACATGGGTCTTAATAGTCCGCTATTTAGCGGATTTCCGCTACAGCCATTTCCTCCGCTAAACTCCGCTTCCGCGACAGCGGACCAATCAGAAAGAGACTTGTTGGGAGCAGGGTGGTTGCCAGGTCCCGGGAATTTAAAAAAAATCGCCGAGCCCCGGGCCCGGGAAAATACATAAAAGATCTCATTTGAAAACCAAATTCAATAACGTCTTTAAGTTCATTTCTACCGGTCGCGATTGTGATATTAATTCGGCTCAGAGAATACGTTTTGCGCGAACTTGTGGTTTTGGCGGCAAGTGGAATTGTGTCACCTAGGTTCGACTGGAAAATCAAGATCTACTTTCGCTTTCGTTACCACCCAGAAATTTGTCAGTAATTGTCTGATATTAACGCAACAATTATTGTAGCATGCAGGTTCGGCATTACAAACGTGGTGTCGCCATGAAAATAAATCAATATTTGTCACTGTGCCGTCACTTATGGGGGCAACAAAAAGAAAAAAAAAAAAGTTAATAATACAAGCGTCTTGTCGGGTTCGCCATTGTGACTGGTCAATGAACCTGCGCGCGTTCTGAGTAATCTGAGCGCTTCGAAGTACAGGACTCAGGAATGGGGGGAGATTATTGATTTTTTTTTAAAGACGCACTCGAGGATAGGGGGAGGGCTGGACGCAACACCAGAAGACAAAAAATCTGAAACTGGAAGCAAATATGTTTTATGTTTAGAATTTTGATTACTACTACAGCTCTCTGCAAAGTAAAGTGTGCGTTGGTGCAGGCCTTGTGTGAAAACGGGAACCGTCATAACTTGTAAGCGTGTTGTGGAACTTAGGGGCCTAAGTGTTCGCGTTTTATTGGATTGGTGACAGTAAATTAGATCTCTATATTTTAGCTTTCTGTTCAAGATTCGCAGATTTTCAGTTTCACTGCATCTTGCCCTCTCACAGTTCTTACACCTCTCACACTGAAAAGGTCTACTTGGGCTATACTACTGTACTTTGAGCATTAATTTTTGTCTTTCACGTTTAATATATAGGCCTATGATATGAATCATTACCGTCGATATTCTGGTTCTAGGCTCAAAACAAGATTCATTTTATAAAGTTTATATATACAGGCGAATATGATGAAGGGAAAAATTAATAAGTCGCACAAGACCCCAGGCGCCACCACTTTCTGTACGTAATCAAGATTGTAAATATTTTGTATGTGACTCTTACTTGAAATTATCTCCCAACCCCTCAAATTGGTGTGAAATAACCTTGCTTTGATAAATTAATGGTTTTTATTTCTGCATTCTAGGGTTCAACAGTATAATGATAATGGGTGTTTCGCCAAAATGGGCTTCTGTGGCGATCGCCCGGAAAGTTCCTCCTTTTTTAGAATTCTGAGTTGAGACCCATGATAATTTCAGGCCGACAGAGTCTTTACTTATAATTAAAGTTAGCTTTCCATGATACAATCAAAATATAGTTACACCCTGATAACACAAACTTCATGAGATCTGAGAATTTCTTGCAGGCAAAACGTAGAAAAGTCGCCTTGTTCAACAGGTGGCCATCTTATAGAGTGTCATTATAATGTAAAAAATATGCAAGGGAGGAAATGGAAGTGGCCGTTTCTACAGGTATAATTGTCTTATATGGGTGGCCGTTAGATCAGGGTCAAGTGTAATTTCATTGTTTTCTTCTGGTACACACCTCTCTCTCCCAGGGCGGAAGGTCTCATACAGGTGGCCATTAGAGCAGGGTCAAGGGGGTGTAATTTGGTTGCTTTTAAGCACAAGGGGGCTATCCCGAAAAATGCCGTTTTGAGAAAATGGAAGGTAAAATGTTTTTTTGACCCACGTTTTTTTTTTCTTAAAGATGAGAATATTCTCTATAACCAAACAAATGTACACACTAATGAAAACAAACTTCTCCGGCTCCTATAGGTAGGGCAATGCCCACTTGGGGGATTGGTCAAAATTTTGGGAAATACCTGAAATCTGGGTTAGTCCTCTTGCCCTTAAAAATGTCCATTTCATCATTTTCTTCTGATACACATCTCTCTCTCTCTCTCTCTCTCTCTCTCTCTCTCTCCACAGGTTGGAGGCAGGCAGCAGCAGCCAGTACAAAGGCATGATCCTGTCATGCGCCGAACACCTGGGTTTGGTCATGTTTGAGGTTTTGGCCGTTGTCAACCTCCAGTGGGCAAGTGTGGGCTGGCTACTCGTCTTCATCCCGCTCTTCGTCCTCTCGTTCTTCTGCATTGGCGCCTGCATCTGGAGGGTCAAGAATGACCGCTCCTGTGAGGTGCGTGATGTCACTGGTTATCATTTCTATCGTTGGTGATTCTAATCTGTTTTAGCACGTGGTTAGAAAATGCCGTTGGTAGCACTCACTTATAGGGCTCTTCCACAGTAACTTGCGGGACATTTGGACTATACTTTCTTACAATGATTACACTGTATTTCAACTTTAAATGATCAGAACATTTGAAAGACACATTAAGATTCATATTAAATGAATGCCTTCATTTGGAGTAAAAAGTACTTTTTTCAAATTTTGTGACATGTTTTGTCTCGACAACTGATGGGATAGTATTTTTCTCTCTTTTCTGTCCCATCAGTTACCGAAACTAAGCAGGTCGCGGAATTTACATATGATAAAGTACTTTTTTTTCGCTTAATTGTTCCTGTCTCTGGGTACCAACTGTTGTCGGGTAGTAGTTACACGCTTCGCTGTTGTATGCAAGAGACCCGAATTCGATTCTTAAGTGGGGAGAAAGTTTTTGTCTAGTATCTCAGTCTTTCTGCTGGGATGTTGTACTCCTCCCAGCTGAGTTTGGCCCTGACAAGAATGGTGAGAAGCCCACCTCCAAAATGATCTAAATTATATCGATGAGGGCATAGAAAACACCAACATTTAAAAAAATAGGGAAAAAATTGTCTCTGTGTCTTAATCTTTACCTATCTTAAATAACTTGTTATTATGTTAATGTTATCTCCTTATTCCAACAAGCATCTGGTTTGGCTTGTTCTTACATGTCACACTACTCTTTGTTCAAATTTGGTTTACACTATCATGATTCCCTGAGATATTCTCTGAGATATTTATTGTATACAAAGGAAATCATTATCAGTGTACTTCTATGTCCTATAAAGATGGCCTTTTTTTTTTTTTACGATCTTAACCTGATGGTTACAGAGCATGTTGAAATAAAGAGAGTAGACAGGGTTGTCTTCAACTGTAAATGATAGCTATAACTTTTGCTGATTTCTTATTTCACGTAACATCACTTTAAAGTAGAACATTTTTCAAATGAACCACCACTTCCAAAAAATAACTGCCAGTGCCTATGTTATATTTTAAAGGGGTCTTATCTACCCTTTATTCTGAAGATAATTGTTTCGGAGGGGGGTTCGTTCTTTGTCTCTCATCCCCTCCCCTTTACACAACCCTGGAAACTTCCTTTTCTCTGTTAAAATGCTGACACTAAATCCATGTGAATAAACAACCTGAATGATGCTTGTACAAGGGGGGTTCAAGAAGTCTTTGATCTAAATATGAAGGAATAAAGATTAAGCTTTGTAACATGGCACACATAAACTTGGACCTTTTCCTGAAAAATCTGTGATGGGGATTTCCTTTGAAAGTGTGAAAACTTGATATAATCGAGCAATATTCAACAGGCCCCCCACACCCCACAGCACAGCTTCAGCAAAGAAAAACAAACATTTTTGTGCTTGGTTTTATTTTAATACGCTAACTAGTGCCTTGTTATGGTAGGATTTTCTGGAAAATTAGCATGGTGTGTTCCAAAGAAATTGTTTAAATGCTGGCGAAATTTCATTACTCTGCTAGGATTCTTTCATACCCAGATCAAAGACTTATTGCACCCCCTTCGTATATTCTTTCATGTCTCTTCATGTATGGTTCTGTATTGCAGCTGGAGCTGTTCTGCTCAGTGAACATCCTGCAGTTCATCTTCCTGGCACTCAGACTAGACGACGTCATATCATGGAGTTGGGTGGTGAGTGCCTCTTCATACCCTTTGATTTTCTAATGTAGTTTTATTTACTTTTTTAATCACAGTTTCTTAATTTGTGGTTGCATGAGCTCAAAAAATATTTTGTTGAAATTCAAATTATTAATGTTTAAAAAAAAAAAAAGAAAAGATACATGATGTAGATACGATTGCTAAAGGAATTAACATTTTTATCTCTCTAGTGAAACATTTTGCTTTTTAGGCTTAATACGTTCGATCTGCTTGCTATTGATGTAGACCTAGTGCCCTCTTCATCTGTTTCCAGTTTGTTTGTTTTTTTGTCTGACACATTGTTTTGTGGGTGGTTGGGTGGGCGGGGGCGGAAGGGGTGCTCTGGTATGATTTGCTCCCTTCTTTCCCATCAAATATCTATCATCATTATCTTTCCTCCTTCTTTCCTTTGTATGTTACTTCTGTAACACCTCTGAACTCTGGCACTTATATTACCTAATTGTGTTGTAAATGCCATAAAACTCTTGCTAAAACTTAAGAAATTGCATGAATGGATACATCTAAAATTTCACAAATATTGGCTCCTCCAGCTTATTGTTAAGGCAGCATCAGGGTAACTCTTACTAAAACCCAACACCTGTTTTCCAGATTGTCTTCATTCCGGTGTGGATTGTGATGTGTGTGGCCATGATATTTGTCCTGTATTCTGTGGGTCTGGCCATCATCCTACTCCGTTCGCCAGACATTTTGAGTGAACAACGGCGAGAAAATGTCTCTACGGCCATTGGCTATGTGTTTTTTGTTGTACCCCTACTCGTATTTGAGGTAAGACGGATTTACATTTGTGAGTCGTGCTGACAAATTGAGTTACTTTTCGCAATCCACATATGGAAATATTGGCCAAAAATCGACACCAGGTTCAAATTTGTAGACCGTCTATTGATGCCATTTTCTTTAAGTAGAACATGTCTTTTATTATTTCATTCTTATGAATTGTAAAAACTACACCTAAAAGTGTGATGTATGTATTTCCATAGGGCTAAATTCCGAGAAGTAACTCATTTTGTCAGCAGGCTTGACATTTACTTTTTTTCTTGTTTATTTGTATATATAAATATGAATTGACATGACTGTGGAACCAGTAATTGTTGAAATAAAATTTTAAAGGAGCATAGGCACAGAGTTGTGGTCATATCATATTGGAAGAAAGTAAGGCAATACGCAGAAGTTGTGGAAATGTGTTTAAAGAATTTGTGCTTTTGCCGGTCTAATTAAAATTGCTGTTTTATGGTTAGAAAATGTGTGTCGAGAATTTAGAGCACACACAAAGAAAAATTTAGATGCTACCACATCTTCCCTAAAATCTGTCTACCAAAATACTAATTCTATAAGTTATCTTCACAGATCATATACAAATGTTTCATGGTGTATGATGTGTGTGGAAGAGAGGATGTGTGAGAGTGTTGTGTGTTTATAGGTGTGCACAAGTGTGTGTGCACGTGTGTGTGCGTGCATGTGTGTGTGTGTGTTTCGTGTAACACCAAACCATTGTGTGCCAGCTTCTGGACAATAAAGATTTGTCTTATCTTATCCTGTTTGACCAGGACTGCTTTCAGAGTAGTACATGTTGTAATTAGACAATAATATGTTCTGGCATCTGTGATCTAAGATATGTGCTCAATTCTCAAATATATAAAATTTGTTTTGTTGAGTGTCTCCGTC